TTATTTAATTATAACATAACCAAAGTAAAGCGCGCGCTCTGATTGGTCAATTTAGCGTCCCCCATTTGCCCATGGGTGTACGCTGCTGACGTGAGCAAATGCAAAGACTATTTTTCCGCGCGCGCTTGTTTTTTCTGGTCACGTAAGATTTGTTAAATAAAAGGGAACTCTTTAGCTACAATGTATCAATGTTATGTTATAAAACAAATGGTAAACACCACACCGTACACTATTGAGTTATGGATGCACTTGGGAGGTTTGCTAAGCACTCAAGAAGCTAGAGTCGCTCTCGGCTATCGCCTCGAGCGACTCTTACGCTTCTTTCGTGCTTAGCAACCTCCCGCGTGCATCCGTAACTCAATAGTGTACGCTGTGGTGTTTACCATTTGTTAATTTGCACTCGTGTTTTAACTTCGTACTCGTAGAAATGAAAAGTGCACTCGTTTTCAGCCAGTCAGACGCGCTTAATTTTTCTTGAACATTATTAGACAAGTAATATGTTTTTTGAGAGATTGATCGATTGATTGACGAACGGATTGATTGATTTTGTTATGTATCCTCATTCACAGGTTGCCTACAAGGAGGACAAAGAAGTTACTTTCCATACGAAAGAGACTGGCAATGTCTTTTCCCTTGTCCTTAATCTTACACACGGAGCAACATATAATATTAAGGTAAGGAAATAGGTGTAAGGTCTTTCTTCACCCTGAAACTCCCATGACAGAATTTCTCCTCATAACGTCGCTACAAAATCAAGCAGGCAAGTCACAAGACCAAGGAAGATTATCAACTAGGGAACTATTAGTTTATCTAATAGAGATTTGGCCAGAAATTTACTAACGAAAATGGCAGATTTGGCCTAGCTGATTTCGCTTTGACTAATTTAACTGAAATTTATCAAAATGATCAATTCCGCCATGCTGATTTCGCTTCGATGAATTTGACTAAATTCGCTAAAATCGTCAAATCCATGAACAACAACAACAATTTAACATTTATATAGCGCAAACTACTATATAGATAATCAGTCACGCTTTACAATCAGTTAAGGTGAGATCGGACGTCAGAATTCATCAGGCGCACTATGCAGCCACTTCAGTCCATGTATTGATCTCACCTTCCCTCCCCAATTCACCCTAGATTAGACACTACACAAAGATAGACCACAACACCGGGCACTACGTGCCCTACTCTTTTCGAAGAGTGTGTGGGTTCTTAAACGTCCCACAATTTTTATCACATATAAGGGCTTCTGAGACGGGACCTCCATTTATCGAAGACTAGAAAGTCAAACCATTTGCAGATATTATTACAAAGGCAGTACTTTCTTCTCAGTTATTTAAAGACCATGAGTGTTGGTCCGGCCGGAGTCGAACTCTCGACCTCCCGCACAACATCCATTCGGTTCGACGAAACTTCGTCGAATGTGCCATTTTCGTTATTGCTTGCATTCACAGGACATAGTGATCTAATACCAACTTCTTCGAACTAACACCTTAGGAATTGTAGCTGACAGTAATGAGAATTTCCATTGTGACCTTGGGGGAGAAAGGGTTAACCAATGAAGCGTTCCCAACGAAAGTGTAACTTATTTCGTGGTTGGCGGGTTGAGACCAACTTATAAACAAACTACACTGATAATTTTCACTTCAATACTTTCTATCATGGAGTAACCGCGAAATAAGATAAAACCTGAAATATCCACGTAGAGAACGTTTGTTTCCCCTGCGGGTATTTAGCACTGGGATTATGTTCTGCATTTTCTGCATTTTAACCCACTTACAAATGGTTAAAGAACGTTTGTTGCCTTCGAGTGTTTTGAGCACTGGGAATATGTTCTGTATTTTCCGCCCTTTAACCCCCTTAGAAATAGTTAAATTTTTGTTTCTCTTACACTCTGTATGCTTGATCCTGAGACACGGAAAAAAATTACCTGAGTGCGATAATGTTGTTTTGATGTGCCACTAAATTATCTTCGTCTCGACGATATTGCTTGAAAATTTTTTCAACTTAACGGGAAAATTGGGAACCAGATCTTGAATTGTTAAGAGTCTTAAATAAAAAAGAAGTGCGTTTAATGTTTTTATTAAAGGTGAAAGCGTTCAACGGAGATAAGGGAAGTGATAGTGATGGTGATTGGTCCGAAGTACAACGTGTGTTCATTCCAGCTACGATTAAAAAACCGACTGGTATGTTTGACTTCTTGTATTACCATTGCCTTTTCTTTCTCATTTTTGTCTGTGAAAATCAATACTGTCGAATTTCCGTGGTTATTCGTGAATTCCTTTGCCTTGGGCCAGTAGTATGTAGTCAATACTAACTTTTTTCTTTCCTATTTCAGCATCAGTAACAAATCCCCGTTACACGTTTGTTAATGACACTGCAGTGACACTGGCATGGGGAAGTCCAGCCTCATCTGGTGGAACTACACTTCCTCCGAAGGTAGTTATCATTTGAATGATATACGGAAAATTTATTTTACGGTTTTTAGGCTCTAAAGATCAAATTTTACTTCCCAATACTTCTTTCTCACAAATCGTGCCCCAGGGAAATATCGCAAGATTGGGACGAAGGAAAAGCAACCGGAGTCCTTGAAAGGAATCGAACCAAGGAATTTTGGGTTAGCAGAGTCTCGTTGCTCTATCAGTGAGCTCCAGAGACTCTTCGGCACGATGCACAGTTAGACTCGTCACTCTTCTTCATTCCTCTACTGGTAATCGTCAGATCACCCCGACGATAGGTTCGGTGTTAACCGATTTGACTGGGCTTATTGTATGAAAAATAAATGTACTCGTGTGCTACTTCAAAACACTATTTGGTATTATCCACATTTTGGGAGGTCGTTTGTGACGGGCTCTCTGAAATTTGTCGTTTTGGGGGCGGAGTCTTAGAAGCCTCATTCAGTACGCGAAGATGGACCCGACGGCATTTTTTTTTTTTTCATTTATTTATCTATTTATTTTTTCCAGGGGTATAAAGTGTATGAGTTGACCACCGATGGCAAAATTCTCCTTGTTACGACGACTCAACATAATTACACCGTTTATTCGCTGTTCTCGCAAACCTCCTATTCATTTGTTATAAAACCATACAATGAGGCTGGCGAAGGACCCCCTGCTTCAATAGACGTAATAACTCGCGGAGGTAAGTTTGAAGTGGCGCATGTAGTCGCCGTAACTCTGAGGGTGGAATTACAATTTGAATGGCTAGGATGTAATGTTAATATCCCTCTGTTCACCTCCCCCGCTGGCTGATCGCTGAAGGCTCAAATCAGATCGCAACAGAGGTAAAACAAAACGCAAATCAAGGGGTGGTGAGGTTGGATGTTCTTGGCCCCACCACATTTGCCCCGCGCTCTACGCTTGCGTCGCAAACGGTTTTGTGTTCGCTCTCTGATTGCTCCTCGCACCCTTGTGAATTTGCTAGAGAATTTGACCTTATACCAGGTCAATGTCCTGTTGCTGGTCAGGTAAGTGTCCTCTCTTCATTCCTTTGCCGGACGATGGATTGACTCCAGGAAGCGGAAGGATTAATTCTATTTTATTAAAAACGAGATCATTGGATAATACAATTCAAGACATTTTATTGGCTTAGCCAGTATGGTATATCAGCCAATATACCATAATCTACAAATATGGCAAGCGTACGTGTCAGCTTAAAA